GAGGAGGGGTGGGGGGGGAGCGGGGGGAGAACAGAGATGGGAGGGGGAAGAAGAACAAAAAGACAGGCCTCACAGTAGCTAAAGATGCATGTGTGACATGCGAAGGAATGGGAAGAACAAAGGGCCAGGCCTCGGAATAGTGACTTCATCACGGCTTCAACAGTTCCAACCTGCTTGTGGGGGCTAAGCTCCTAAAGCAGAGGAGGTAAAACACTGTTAAGGAAGGGGGGGGGGGGGGGGGGGGAACGCACCTATCTCCAACTCCAAGGATATACATGATCACACAATAACCTGCACAGCTCTTCACAAAAGTCTCAAGCACCTCTGCACTGATGCCAAATGGTCCCTCTTCATCCGGTCTCTGAAGTTTCAGGTAATTTCCAATTGTCTTGTACTCAGCAAGAACCTGCGCACAGAGCAACGAGCACCCACGACCTCAGGAAGACTTTCCCAAGATCCCAGATATATCTGGCCTGATTTCAAGAACTGTGTGCAGACTAGAATACACAAAACAACAAAGTTGATGGTAGGGAATCGAATCGAATCGAATCGAATCGATTGAACAAACCTATTCACTTGACCAAGTTGTTAGCTATCGTTCCCCTCACCGCCCTTGCACAACGATTACTGCGTAACCACTGTCCAATCGTCTGCTAATCACTGACCAGAGAGAGAGAGAATCTCGCAAGTCCCTCCAGTATCCAACATTATATATGCCCTAAATTTTCTCATGCAGACCCCTTCACAGCCAAGGTCACTTTTCTTTTCGCTGAATGAAAGAGAGCTCTCTCAGTGCATCTTCTTTTCCGGTTTTCCGGAACTTTTACCTTCATTACGGAATTGACCGGCGCGAGTCCCTGCCACATGACCACAATGCCACCCACCACTGTATCTGCAATTGCGCTTTGCATGTCCATGCATGTCCATGCATGTCCATGCATAAGGAGGGGTCACGTCTTGAACATCCGGTACACATGTAACATGCCAGATTCGATTCTAAGCACCATCTTATATATTTTAAATACTTTATTATTTTCTCTGTGTGCATCTGCTGAATACTTTCAATCATACTTGCGGCGCACTGGTGCGGTGCGCGATGCGGTGCGGTGCGCCCTGCAGAATGCGCGCGGTGACACTGCGCGCGCACGAGGTGCGCCGTGCGCGCAGCGCATGGGGACGCGATACCCCTGCAAGGGTGCGCACTGTGCGCCATGCCGTTTTTCGGTGTGTGTGTGTGTGTGTGTGTGTGTGTGTGTGTGTGTGTGCATGGGGACGCGCTACCCCTGCAAGGGTGCGCACTGTGCGCCATGCCGTTTTTCGGTGTGTGTGTGTGTGCGTGTGTGTGTGTGTGTGTGTGTGTGTGTGTGTGTGTGTGTG